ATTAGAACATGTAAATAATCCTGTAATGTTGCTGTTCCATTATTTCCACCTGCGAAGACATCTTGGTATACCTTTTATTTGCCTCTTATGATGACTCCAACCAAAGCACATATCACATTGAATAAAAATAATCTGTTTACTGCTGGCCAGGCAGGCACTTTGGGAGGCCAAGATGGGTGGATCATTGAGGCCAGGAGTTTAAGACCAGCCTGGTCAACATGGCAAAACTCTGTCTCTACCAAAAATACAAAAATTAGCTGGGCATGGTGGCAGATGCCAGTAATCCCAGCTACTCAGGAGGCTGAGGCAGGAGAATTACTTGAACCTGGGAGGCAGAGGCTCCAGTGGCTGAGATCATGGCCCTGCATTCCAGCCTCAGCAACTAAGCAAGACTGCCTCAAAAAAAAAAAAAAAAAAAAAAAAAATCATCTGTTTACTGCTAGTGTCTGCATTACACTCTAAGATCCTTAAGGTTTGAAATTTTAGTTTGTCACTTCATCTCCAGAAAGTAGCACAGTATCTGAATATAGCAGACATTCAGTAAATATTTGATAAATGAATGAATGCCAACATCTGTACTCTACAGAATATGTTTTTAAGAACATTTAAAGATAGTTACCTTCCCTAGGTGCAAACAATTAAATATTACAAAATCCAAATGAGGAAAATAACACATGCTCCTGAAAACCGCAAAAGTAGATCAGGAACAAAAGTCTTATTATGGTCTTCAACAAAAATGAGTCTCATAACAAATGGGTCAATTTTCCCTAAGTTAACTTAAAAAGTTTACATTATTCCAATAAAAATATAATTTTTTTCCTTGAGACCAAACAAGTTAATTATAAAGATGTTTTAGAAGAATGACAACCAAGAATAGCCACGAAAGCTGATTTAAAAAATAGCAATGAGGGCCAGGTGCAGTGGCTCACACTTGTAATCCCAGAACTTTGGGAGGTTGAGGCAGGTGGATCACTTGAGGTCAAGAGTTTGAGACAGGCCTGGCCAAAATGACGAAACCCCATCTCTACTAAAAATACAAAAATTAGCCAGGCGTGGTGGCATATGACTGTAGTACCAGCTACTTGGGAGGCTGAGGCACGAGAATCACTTGAACCTGGGAGGCAGAGGCTGCAGTGAGCTGAAATTGTGCCATTGCACTCCAGCCTGGGACTTCAGACTTTGTTATTTTGTTTTGTTTTTTAAACAAAACAAAACAGCAGTGAAGAAGGAACAAGCCCTGTAAGTATTAAAAAGATACTATAAAGCCTATTTTAGTTAAATGAGTGCAGCACTGGAACATGAATAAACAACCCAATGGAACAGAAAAACTAAAACTATACCCCTGTACAAATAAAACTTTCTGCCTGAACACACTGATCAATCTTACTGTGACAATCAAACACCACGATCCCCCTCATATGACACAATTATATGTGCAAAGTATCATGCATAAAATATACTGCCTGTAAAAACCGAATGTAAATTTAATTAACCTCTGTATCTACCACCTTTTTCAACTGGGGAAAAGAGAACTATGAAATAATACCATAAGGATGCAATCAGCCAGCTCCAAAGTATGGAAAATGAAATTTTTTTTTTCACACAATACATGGCATGGAGAAAAAGAGTTCTGGGGGAACTTTATAGCTCAAGAGAGATTAAGAGATATATTAACCCAATACAGGTAGATCTTGTTGACATACTAATTTGAAAAAAGCAACCATTTAAAAATATATTTAAGACAATTAGGGAAATTTAAATACAATATTACAATTTGTTAATTTTATACGGTGTGATAACTGCATAACATATGTTGTAAACTAGACCTAAAGCAAGCAGAAGGACAGAAATAATAAAGATTAGAAAGTAAGAAAATAGACAACAGAAAAACAAGAGAGAAAAATCAATAAAAACCAAAACCTAGGTATTTTTAAAAAATGTACAAACTGGATAAAACTTACTTGGACTAACCAAGAAAAAAAGAGAGAAGACTGAAACTGCTACAATCTGAAATGAAAAATGGGACACTACTGAACTCAGAGAAATAAAAAGAATTATAAAGAAAATATGTACAACTGTATGCCAACAAGCTAGATAACTTAAATGGAATAGACCAACTTTTAGACACAAACTACCAAAATCGGCATTACTGTACTTCAGCAGAGGCTGAGGGCCATCTGTTGGGGGTATTACTGGAGGGATTCTGTTTTTTGTTTGTTTTGTTTGTTTGTTTGTTTTGTTTTTTTGAGACGGAGTCTCGCTCTGTCGCCCGGGCTGGAGTGCCGTGGCCGGATCTCAGCTCACTGCAAGCTCCGCCTCCCGGGTTCACGCCATTCTCCTGCCTCAGCCTCCCGAGTAGCTGGGATTACAGGTGTCCGCCACCTCGCCCGGCTAGTTTTTTTTGTATTTTTTAGTAGAGACGGGCTTTCACCGTGTTAGCCAGGATGGTCTCGATCTCCTGACCTCGTGATCCGCCCGTCTCGGCCTCCCAAAGTGCTGGGATTACAGGCTTGAGCCACCGCGCCCGGCACTGGAGGGATTCTGAAGGATGGGAATGGTGTATTAATTATCCTCTAATAACTCTCTCAACTACATGGTTCCATGAATTTATATTCTTCTCCATTTGTGGTATGGTATCTGTAATGTGCTGACTACAGAGCCTTGACTTGTTTTGCAGCTGTGTGTGATCACAAAATGTAGATAAAGGTAATCCCATTCCCAGCACTAATAACTGACTCAGATCACAGAAGCAGATACTATACAAGTCAAGATTCTTATAATTTGAACTTGCTTATTACTCAATTTATAAATCTTGCTTGTTCAAATTTCTAAATTATTAGTTTCATTTTAAATGCCACAATCCTTGAATCCATGAGTAGCTACCCATATTAAACAAGGACTGTGTATTTACATTCACTTTTATTATACAATTATACATATACCTAGCAGCATGCCTAGCAAGGCATGATTACTTGCAGATTATTATTATTTTTATTTATTTTTTATTTTTTTGAGACAAAGTCTCATTCTGTCACCCAGGCTGAAATGCAGTGGCACAATCTCAGCTCACTGCAATCTCTGCCTCCCAGGTTCAAGTGATTCTCCTGCCTCAGATTCCTAAGTAGCTGGGACTACAGGCACCTGCCACCAGGCCCAGCTAATTTTTTTGTATTTTTAGTACAGACAGGGTTTTACCATGTTGGGCAGGCTGGTCCTGAACTCCTGACCTCAGTTGATCTGCCCACCTCGGCCTCCCAAAATGCTGGGATTACAGGTGTGAGCCACCACACCCAGCCAGATTACATCTTAGAGTAGGCAGACTTCTAAGATTACCCCAGGACCCCAATCTTCTGTTATTCATAACTTTACATAATTCTTTCCTCTTGGACCTACAGAATTGGTTCTAACAGAGAGAATACTATCAAAAACTATGGGATATCACTTTTACGATTTTGTTATAAAAAACTGTCACTTCTGTCTTAGTGAACAGAGTCCACTGCCTTCTCTGCATATACATTTCAATGAAACATGCTGCCATGATGGAAACAGGGCAAAGGATTGAGGGCAACCTCTGGCCAACAACTAGAGAAGAACTGAGGTCCTCATTCTAACAAACTGAAAGAAACAGAATCCTACGAACAAACGTGAGGTTAGAGGCATAGCCATCTCCAGTCAAGCTTTAAGATGACTATAGCCCAGCCAACATCTTAACTGCAACCTTAAATTCACTGAAGCAGAAATCCCAAATAAGCTGTGTCCAGATTCCTGACTCACAAAACTGTAATATAAGTTTTAAGTTTGAGCTAAATTTCAGGATAACTTGGTACAAGGTAATTTTTCTATCAAACCTGAAAGAGCAAGGGTTCTGGATGTGCACTTTTGGTGAATCTGTAACCTCTAATGCAGCATTTCTGGTATTTTTCTATCTAATAGCAAGAAATCTTTATCATAGCCTTTTCAAAACTGTAAACCATAGTCAACCTTCTTTGTTATACCCTTCCACAGAGATAATCAGGAAGTGTAACACAAAGTTTTATAATCCCACAAAAGTTGTCTGGAATGCTTTTTACTACTACCCAAGAAGTGTGGCAAAGCTCCTTAATATCACTTCTAAGATGTGTTTTTTTAAAATGATTTCATGGGACACTAGAAGGTATTGTACAATATTTCTGTAGTCAAATAAGTTAAGGAACTACTGAGTTTAACAAAATTATATGTATTCTTTCATTGTAATCCTAACTCAAAATAGCATAAGAACTTCCAGAGCCTGATCATTATACTCTTATAGACTCATCTGCTGTCATATTTATCCTCTTTATATCTAGTCATACTGAATTGCCCCTTTCTTTGCAGAATTAAAATTCAGCTTCCCCCAAAGTACTTTTTTTAGGGGCTTCATTTTTTTTAAATCTTTATGGGTACACTATGAAGTACATGAGATATTTTAATACAAGCATATAATGTGTAAAAATCAAATCAGGGTAAATGGAGTACCCCCAAAGTACTTGCTAATTACTCAACTTATAGATGTTAATTATTTACTTGTTCACATTTCTAAATTATTAATTTCATTCTCAACGCCACAATCCTTGTAATCCTAGGACCTGGTTCAATTCCTGTCACAGAAATAGCTACTCAAAATATGCTGGCTGAATACATATGTGAATGACAAAGATACAGTTAGGTACTTATAAAAAACTAAGTTATAATAAAACATTTAATTTTACTCTAATATGATCTTGAAACACATGGTAAATAATATTCTGCCCTAATTGTTAGATTATTTATATAATCTGTGTGACAAACATACAACCCAGCAGAGTAACACTGGTGTAGTAATTAAGTGGTGTAAGTAGGGCACCTGAATTTTTTCCAATACTTCATTTATTGCAAATGTTAATTTGGATTTTCAGAAAAACTGGAGGACACTTTCAGTCAGATATCTAAGTTTATATTACTGCATGTGTTTCAAACCAGTAAATGTCAAAAAGGTCACATACCAAATGAAACTGATCCACTTTCGGGATTCCATCTTTATTTATCTCAAACTCCTGATTTTGAACAGAAAGCTGTGAAAGAAAGTAAGAATGAATAAATGTCCAATGTATTAATATACTGATCTATAGAAGAGTTAACTCTGGAACTTCAGATCCTGGTGACTAGAAAAGAGTTCACTTAAAGAAAGCACATTAACTCTCTTACGGGTAAAAGCACTTTCATTGTAACTACATGTTCACAAGCAACCAAATGGTTCCTGGGGCTCCTAAAGTACCGATCAGAGGTGATGTACACACTATGAACACTTTAATATTTCTTCACCTTATAAGAAAATGTGTTAAAGCGTGGTAGCCTATATATCATGTTAGCCTCACCAATACTCAAAAATTAGGTACAAAGAAAATAAATCAGGCAAGTTTCTTTCTACCATAATATCTAACCTGTGGTTCGAGAAATATAAGCTAAACTTTAAAAAAAGCTTCAGAGATAAGAGGGATGCAAGAAATAAATTAATTAAATTTAACTTAAAAACATGGAGAATTTTTCACATACACAAAGGTACTCTGAGTCCCACATATTCATCCCCTAGCCCTAACAACCATCAGCCAATGACTACTCTTACCCTATGAACAAATCCATATATATTATCTTTGAGGCATATCCTATGCATGTCATAATTTCACCTATAAACATGTTAGTACATATCTCTAAGAGACAATCTTATTTTTACACATATCATAAGAAAAATACTTTTATACAAAATACCTAGCTTTCAAAATTTGAGTAATCTCGTATCAAATTAGTTTACCCTTTTAGTTTATTTAAATCCAAATCCAAATAAGTTCCACCCATTGCAATTAAAAAATGAGCAGAAAGGCTTTTGGTCTCTTCCTGTTCCTCTCCATTAATTACAATTATAAAACCTGAAAATACCAGAAAATATAACCAAAGGAAAACATTGAACGGTTTAAAAAAGGAAGAAAAACTAGTTGAAGACCCCAGGATTAGAGGAACAACATAGTAACAGGTTATCTTATAACCCTCCCAATTGAAAAAAAAAAAAAAAAAAAGTGATCCAGATCTGATGTTTCCCAACTCCTAAGCCTGCAACAGAAAGCAGCCCAGGTAGATTCATTCCTCTCTTGAACTTAATAGGATTGCCATCAACACCACCAGGTGAGGCCAGGAGAAACAGCAAGAAGGTTCAACTGGAAACCTCACTGTCAATAAGCAGCCAGGGGAAGCATTCACCATCCTCAGCAGCAGCACCACCTGAGACACCAACGAGGCCACAGGCACCAACAAAGGGAAACCACACCACAAGCAGCTGGTCCAGTAAATACACTCTGATGCCCATAAGTAGGGGGATCCCACCATAACAAGGGATGGTTCTGGAGGTATTCTGCATCTGTCATAGGAAAGGAGAGATCCTGCCACAACTAGCACCCAGCTCAAGAAGCTTCATCCCATAGACCAGAGTCTGCATTCCCATATTTAGAAGCACTAGGCAGCTCAGTCTTGAAAACTCCCTTTCATTCTTTCAAATACCATCAGCAGGGACCACGGGAGGCCCAACAGTATGCAACAACTCAAGCAGATCAAAATATAACTGAAAAGTTTCTAAAAATTAGATTGTCGTTAAAACCACAGTTCAAAAAGTAGTCCAGGACCTCTGTTTAAACCTAAACAAGGTGACTGCCTGCTAAAATAAAATTTTCAGGAGGACTCAGAATCTACTAAAATAATATCCAAAATGTCCAGGATAAAATTAAAAATCATTTGTTATACAAAGTACCAGGAAAACCACAACTTCAGCGAGAAACTGCAATCAACACCAAGATGAATCACATAATTACTTGACAAGAACTTTGAAGCAATGGTCATAAAATGCTTCAACAAGCAATTATAATTTCTCTAAGGTAAATAAAAAGAAATCTCAGCAAAGAAAAAAATTATTTAAAAGAATCGCATGAAAGTTAGGGAACTACAAAGTACAATAACCAAAATCTTAAAACTGGATGGAATAAATTGAAAAGTACAGAGATGACAGAAGACAAAATCAGTGAACTTCAGAATAGTTCAACACAATTTACTCAGCCTGATCAGAGAGAAAACATTTCCATTTATTTGTATCCTCTCTTATTTCCTTGAGCAGTGGTTTGTAGTTCTTCTTGAAGAGGTCCTTCACATCCCTTGTTAGCTGTATTCCTAGGCATTTTATTCTCTTTGTAGCAATTGTGAATGGGATAAGCAATTGTGAATGGGAGTTCCCTCATGATTTGGCTCTTTATTATTGGTGTATAGGAATGCTTGTGAGTTCTGCACGTTGATTTTGTATGCTGAGACTTTGCTGAAGTTGCTTATCAGCTAAAGTAGATTTTATGCTGAAATGATACAGTTTTCTAAATATACATTCATGTCATCTGCACACAGACAGACTTTGACTTCCTCTCTTCCTATTTGAATACACTTTATTTCTTTCCCTTGCTTGATTCCCCTGACCAGAACTTCCAATACTATGTTAAATAGGAGTGTGAAAGAGGGCATCCTTGTCTTCTGCCAGTTTTCAAAGGGAATGCTTCTAGTTTTTGCCCATTCAGTATGATATTCACTGTGGGTTTGTCATAAATAGCTCTTAATATTTTGAGATACTTTCCATCAATACCTAGTTTATTGAGAGTTTTTAGCATAAAGGGTGGTGAATTTTATCAAAGACTTTTTCTGCATCTATTGAGATAATCATGTGGTTTTTGTCACTGATTCTGTTTATGTGAGGCATTATGTTTACTGATTTATGTTGAACCAACCTTGCATCCCAGGGATGAAGCCGACTTGATCATGGTGGATAAGCTTTTTGATGTCCTGCTGAATTCAGTTTGCCAGTATTTTATTGAGAATTTTTGTATCAGTGTTCATCAGATTAGCCTGAAATTTCCCTTTTTTGTAGTGTCTCTGCCAGGTTTTGGTACCAGGATGATGCCAGCCTCATAAAATGAGTTAGGGAGGAGTCCCTCTGGAATAGTTTCAGAAAGAATGGTAATGGTACTAGCTCCTCTTTGTACATCTGGTAGAATTTGCCTGTGTATCTGTCTGGTCCTGGACTGTTTTTGGTTGGTAGGCTATTAATTACTGCCTCAATTTCAGAACACATTATTGGTCTATTCGGAGATTCGAACTCTTATTTAGTCTTGGGAGGGTGTACGTGTCCAGGAATTTTTCCATTTCTTCTAGATATTCTAGTTTATTTGCATAGAGGTGTTTATTGTATTCTCTGATGGTAGCTTGGATTTCTGTGGGACAGTGGTGATATCCCCTTTATCATTTTTTATTGTGTCTATTTGATTCTTCTCTCTTTTCTTCTTTATTAGTCTGGCTAGTGGTCTACCTATTTTGTCAATCTTTTCAAAAAACCAGCTCCTGGATTCATTGATTTTTTAAAGGGTTTTTTATGTCTCTTATCTCCTGCAGTTCTGCCCTGATCTTAGTTATTTCTTGTCTTCTGCTAACTTTTGAATCTGTTTGCTGTAGCTTCTGTAGCTCTTTTAATTGTGATGTTAGGGTGTCGATTTTAGATCTTTCCCACTTTCTCCTGCGGGCATTTAGTGCTATAAATTTCCCTCTAAACACTGCTTTAGCTGTGTCCCAGGGATTCTGGTACCTTGTGTCTTTGTTCTTATTAGTTTCAAAGAATTTATTTGTTTCTGCCTTCATTTCATTATGTACCCAGTAGTCATTCAGGAGCAGGTTGTTCAGTTTCCATGTAGTTGTGCAATTTTGAGTGAGTTTCTTAATCCTGAGTTCTAATTTGACTGCACTGTGGTCTGAGAGACTGTTGAGATTTCCATTCTTTTGCATTTGCTGAGGAGTGTTTTATTTCCAATAATGTGGCCAATTTTAAAATAAGTGTGACGTGGTGCCGAAAACAATGTATATGCTGTTGACTTGGGGTGGAGAGTTCTGTAGGTGTCTATTATGTACGCTTGGTCCAGAGCTGAGGTCAAGTCCTGAATATCCTTGTTAATTTTCTGTCTCGTTGATCTGTCTAATATTGACAGTAGGCTGTTAAAATCTCCCACTGTTATTGTGTGGGAGTCTAAGTCTCTTTGTAGGTCTCTAAGAACTTGTTTTATGAATCTTGGTACTCCTGTATTGGGTGCAAATATATTTAGGATAGTTAGCTCTTCTTGTTGCATTGATCCCTTTTCCATTATGTAATGCCCTTCTTTGACTTTTTTGGTCTTTGTTGGTTAAAATTCTGTTTTATCAGAGACTAGGATTGCAACCCCTGCTTTTTTTGTTTTCCATTGTCTTAGTAAATATTCTTCCATCTCTTTATTTTGAGCCTATGTATGTCTTTGTATGTGAGATTGTTCTCCTAAATACAGCACACTGATGGGTCTTGATTCTTTATCCAATTTGCCAGTCTGTGTCTTTTAATTGGGGCATTTAGCCCACTTACATTTAAGGTTCATACTGTTATGTGTGAGACATTCTTAAAAGCACAAAACACGGTGATAAAAGATCAGTGGTTGCCAGCGTTTAAGGATTGGGAGAAGGTTGTGACTACAAAGGGATGGCACACAGGAATTTTCTGGGTTATGGAACTGTTCTGCATCCTGACTGTGGTGGTGGTGATTACACTAATCTACAGGTGTTTTAAAATTCATAGAATGCATACCAAAAAAAGTCCATTGTACAGGTTAATTTAAAAATAAAGTTTTTAAAAGACCTTAATCAACAATATGTAAGAGTAGAAAATCAGACAATATATTTACTCACGGAGCTCTTTACTGTCATTTTAAAAGGAAATAGGTGGAATAAAAACTGCTATTACCACGCTTATGGGATATCTTATGAGTCCTCCCAGAAACAAAAAAATACTTGATACATTTACTTTCACCCTTCTGATATAAAGAATAAACAGATTACTGAAGCACTGATGAAAATCATGCCAGTTTATTTCCATGAGGGTGCTGGTTCTATGAAACCAGAGAACTTTAAATATACATGCAGGTATAGGGCTAAAGTCATAAGAACAGTATGGGGGAACCACCCCATAATTCAAATATCT